ATCCAGGGACTGCGGGTCCTGCGCGGGGAAAGGACGGCCCATTAGCAAGCACAACGCACGGGTCCGTGGGTTGCCCCATGGGAGACCCCCGTCTCCCCATGCTCCACGGCCATCGCTAGAGACCCCCCTACTTCGGAGCAGCGTGCAACCGCCTCCGGGAGGAAATCCACCCCAGAGCAGACACCCAGCCGAGCCGGCAGCGCTCCTCGGGGACGCACGTGCTTTCGATGTTGGGAAATACCTACCTGTGTGCACGTGGCGCGGAGGGGTGGCCAAGCTCCCAGACAGCCTCTGAACATGCAGCCCAGGGGCCTGTGGACTTGGGCTGCCTGCAGCCTCTGCGGAGGTTCGTGGAAAGTTCATTGAACGACAGGCCTGGGACTCGGAGATCAGCTCTGGGGCCAAACCCCAAACCCCAAACCCCTCGAGGCTTCGGAGCGCTCCTGCAGGGTGCACGGGCTCGGGTCCACGCTCCCCTGCAGCGTGGAGAGGCTCAGATTTAAGCCTGTAGACAACGGAGGGGCTGGATGGCTAAGCAGATGAAGGACAAATGGGGGCGAGGGGGGGTCTCGTCCAGCCCCAATCCCTGGAGAATCCAGTATGAATCCACTGCAGGGTTTAGGGTGTGTTGCACTGCGGCGCAAGCCCCTGCACCCTGACCCCAGAGCCGCGGCTGCAGCGAGACGCACGGCGCGCTCTTCCCAGCTCTGCACGAGATCCTCGCACGCCTCTCGCTTTCAGGGCCGCTGATGGAGCCAGGGCACAAAAAGGAGCAATTGGGTTGAGCCCAGATTACATTTCAGCGGCATTAGGGAACGTCGAGGGGATAGACGTGGGGGCCTCCTGCAATCTGGCTCCCAGCTCCTGCGTGGGTTGAGCCAACAGCGAGCTGACGGGAAACACGGCTGGTTTCTGAGCGTGGGCTTGCTGCGGATCTGGGAGCACCGGGCTTTCTCACAAAAGTCCTGGAAAAATCTTGCTGGCTGCTTGCACCGTCGTAATTCAGTCGTTGGCGACGCGGAGCTGCATGTCCGGCTGTCCGGCCTCTCGGCCGCGTGGCCGGGGAGGAGGGTCAGCGCCCAGGTGTAACTGGACTGGACGTGGCTGGATTCCCAGCTCAGAGCAAGCCTTCTTGCAGAGAGGCGGCTTGGTTAGCACAAGAGGGTCCAAGACCTCGTTTCCCGCAGCTGGTGAGCTGCATTGGCGGTGGCGTCATGGCACTCGGGGGCTGCATGGCCTCTGCCTGGCAAGCACGGGGCCGGGAGGTGCATCTCCACGAGGACACCCCAGCAAGTAAAGAGGAATTAGCCAAACATGCATGTACGAAGGGCTGAACCCTGTGCAGATGCCCCACTTCAGGAGCCACGCGCCTCGGACCCAGTCAGGGCTGGGATCTTCATGTGCTTTATCTCCGGTGCTTTGCAGTGAGTGCCACAAGCCTTCCTGGAGTGAGGCTGCAGGGCCCCATCTCCTGGCATCTGTGTGGCAGGTTTGGCCGCCCAGGCCTGGGAAGGTGCTCGGACGCTCCCTCCACGTGCCCTCACCCTGAGCTGGGCGCTCCTTCTCTCCCGGTACCTGCTTCCTCCCAGGGCTCTGGCTCTGTGCAGCTCCGACTGGCGATGCAGGACCACTGCTTTTCTCACCCCGGTTGTGTTTGGTTTGCAGCGCATGGACGACAGGCTGCAGGATGCTTCTGGCTCTTGCAAGCACGGTGCACCGCTGCCTCGCGCCTCTTCTAGCGCTGACGGCTGAGAGCGCGGCCTCGGGAGCAGCTGCCGTCACGCCCAAATCTCCACGTCTTGCCTTCTCGCGCCCTCGCCTCCCTGCCCGGGCGAGGGAAGGAATCCAGAGCACGTCCCACTGCCGTCCTGCAGCGCGGGGGCACCGAGGGAGCCAGGCCAGCTCCTCCTGCGGCCACGAGCAAGAGTCTGAACCCAAGACCAGCCTCAAATCGCCTCCTTCCTTCCTGGTACGTGGCCTGGGTGAAGCTGCCAGGCCCAGCCCCTGCTCAGCACTGCTGGATTTGGGGATAGACGTGGGGGCTTGGAAAGCTAAGGTTCCAGATGTGCCCTCTCCAGATGTTGCAAGTGCGGGTTAGGGGTCACGTCTGACAGCGCCTCGCTGGCAGTGACCCTCCCGCATCCTCCGACGAGCTCCAAGACCAGCTTTTTGTGCCGCCAAGAGCTCATCCCGGCTGAGCTCATCTGGAGCTGGGAAAAGGGAAAAGAACGATCCCTGTGGTGACAGGGCCTCGGCTCGGCCCTCCCAGGACAGACGCTGCAGCTTTGCTCCTGCCGGGGCCGCGTGGCGGGGGCCGAGGGGCTCTGGACCGCGGCTCCCATTCAGCCCTGCTTTCAGGATCCCTGCGCGCTTCGCAGCCGGCTCTCCCGGGCTCGCCCTCCGCCTGCGTGCTGATGGAAAGATGTCCCTCTGGAGAGGGGCAGAGGTACAAGAACATTTTTCAGCAGCTCCTCTGCCTACCGCCCGCCGTGCCCTGCGCCGCGCCGCGTCCCAGCAGCCTCCTCGCGCCCGGTCGTGCCTCCATCACCGCCCCCGGAGAAGGCTCCGTTGGCATCGGTGCCAGCAGGATCCGGCCCCCGCTGCCTCCCCATCTTCAGCCCACAGTGGGAACATCCTCCACGTTCCCCAATCCCCAAGGCGTGTGCGGTGCATGGGCATCCGCATGAGGATTCGGACCTGGCTGTGGCCGGGAGGGAGGTGGTGGGGCTTGGGAGGATGCCCGGCGATTTGGACTTTCCTGCTCGCCGTTCGCTGGCTGCACGGTCTGTGCCCGAGTTCACCACTGACCCGTTGGTGGCCGGCCGAAGCCGGACAGACCCGAGCCACTCCAGTGGGGTTTGCCCGCGTGACACGCAACCGCGGCGGCTGGTCTGGCATGAAACCTTGGCGGATGTGCGCCTGTCCTTTCCCAGCGGGTTTGGCCTCACAGCCCTCGTCTTTGCTCCGTGAGGTTCCCTGAGCTCAGTCATCCCGGTTTGCAAGCAGCGGGTTGCTCTCCGGCCCGGTCAGCCATGCAGCCTGCAGGCCCTGCCCCGCGCCACGCAGCCCCCGCAAGCTTTGCCGTGACCAAGACGTGTCAATGCACACTCAGCCCTCTGCCTGCTGCCACAGCGCCCCGGGGCCCCCGGTGCACGGGGCTGCTGGGGAGCAGCGCGCCCCGTGCCTCGGTTGCTCCGACCGCCTGAGCCGTCAGAAACTTGTCACGGGAACAAGCCAGGGAGCAGGACAGGGAGGACGTCTCTGGAGTCAGCTGGGGCTTTGCCAGGGGGGCCAGGGCAGCGCCCGAACACCCGGGGTTAAAGAAGAGAGATCCCCGAGGCAAAGCCCACAGGGAAGCTGGCTCGGCCGGAAATGGCCCGGCCGCGCACGCACGCGCACGTTCGGAGCGTAGCGTGCAAAGGCATCGTCCATCACCGAACAGCAGGCCCCTCTCAAACCTGTGTCAGAGGAAGAGAGGCAGCTGGACCAAGCCTCACGTGTCGATCTGTTATAAAAAGAGGGGGGGGACGGGACAGGGGGAAAACGGGGCTTTTCAGAGACATACGGAGCCAAAGGTGCCCTGGCTGGGACCCCCCCTTGGCTCCGCTCACCAAGGGGGATGAGATTTTGGCCCGGGGTGACTCGAACGTGGCCCTGCGACATTCGCGCCTCTGCGGGCAGGGGTTTGGTGATCCTGCAAACACAGGATCGATTCAAACCCGAAGGGAACCAGGCCCCGCTGCCCTTCTCTGGCTAACGTGAAAGGCAAAGAGGAAACAAAAGGCGCTGAGAGCAGAAAGAGATGCAGGCGCTGAGAGAGGTTTCTCTGCTGGCCGCCCCAGGGCTGCTAAGGCTTTCTCCCCCAAGAGCCACCGCTTTAAAAGCCGGCGAACAAAGGTGGTCCTGGGGCAGGAACCCTTTCTGAGCTCGCCCAGAGGAACGGAGCCGCGGCCCCCGCTTTTCTGGGCATAGACGAGACAGGAACAGGGCTCGAAAGCTCCAACTGGCGAGAACAACCCTTCCCTCCCCTCCCCTCTCCTCTCCTCTCCTCTCCTGCAGCTCTTCCCCCAGGACGAGCTTTGCCAGAGCGAGGATGTCTCGGACCCAAACTTTTAAGTGTAGCCAGGCCACGAGGGACGTCGAGAGCAGCGTTCGGGATAGCGGCCGGAGCGAGGCGGTGACAGCCAGGAGCCCGGGGCCGGTGCCCGGACACCCTTCCCCCTGCGCGGGGCATGTTTTCCAGGTCTCGTTGCCTGCGCCGGCGGGGGAGGATGGAGCTGCAGTCGCTCGCCGTCTCACACGCTTTGCTCCAAACAGCTGCTAGCGATCTCTGCTCGTTCTCTGCAGCGGTGCCAAGGCTTTGCTCGGCCTCCCGGGACGTGCGCTCGGCCTGGGAAGGGAGCTCTGCCCGCCACCCCGAGAGACGGGCTCTGCCGAAGGGGCTCCTCCGCCTTCCCACCCAGCCGGGAGCGGCCTCACACCTGGCGCTATCGGCAGCATCCAGGGCCCGTCGGGTGCGCTCGGCGCTGTACAAAGGGTCGCGGGAGTGGCAGCGCCCGTCGTGCTCGGGCCCCGACAGCTCGGGCTGCCTGCGGGCCGGGGGCAGGTGCCAGGAGAGGAGCAGCCGTGGGGAGGGGGCGAGGAAAGACAGAAGCAGAAGGCATTACCATGGTGGCAGAGGGGCTGGGGCAGCGGGCAAGGCCCCCGCCGCTCCTCGTCCTTCCCGGATACTAGCGTGGTTCCCTATGGCCTCCAGCTGCCCCGTCCACGCGCCCCTCCGCAACGCGATCCAGGTGTGCACGGGACGTCCCGATGGGGCCACTGCCCCGGTGCCTGCATCCCAGCCTCGGGATCCCTCCCGTCCTCGTCCTCGTCCTCGTCCTCGAAGAGCAAGGGGAGGGCCAGGGGAGGGGAAAGGGGGGAGGAGGGAGGGGGCTGTCTGGGAGAGACGCCTTAAACTCCGTCTCGCTCGCGGCCGCGCTCCTCTGACTGCAAAACATCCCCGGTGCAGCGCCAGGCCTGGGAACAGCAGCTCCCATTGTGCCCGCAGACACAGGCCCCGCTTCGTGCCCAGCCGGCGGTGGCATGGGCTCGGCGCACGCTGGGGGAGAGGGGAACGGGCAGGGGAAAGCCCGGTCCAGCCCTGGCGTCGTGCACGGCATCCAGCGCGGTGCCCCCAGGGCTGAGCTTGGCCCATGGCGCCTGCCAAGAGGAACACAAGACGCCCACACAGGCTTGTTTTTCCAACCATTTCTGCTTCCTCCCAAAGAGGTTTCTTTCTTTCTTTCTCCCTGAAAGAGGCCTGCCAGCCAGCGCCGCGGATTGTCCTCTCCTGCCGCTGCGCCGCTTCATTGGCCGGCCGCTTCCTTTTGTCCTGTGGCAAAATCCACGTCCCCCCGCGGGAGGTGCAGCGGGAGGAAGGGAAGCCCCGGCCAAACGAGCCCGTGCAAGGGACGCTGCGGACGAGGAGGCCCCTGCGGGGAGCCGGGTCTCCACCTCTGCCGAAGCCGATGGGGAAACGGCCCTGGGAAGAAACCGTGGGAGCAAATCCCGCGGTAGCGCGGCATCGGGGCACGCCGCAGGCCTGGGACCGCGTCGTGTGCATGTAAGGAGCGGGCACGTGGCTCGTCCGGGCTAGCTGCCTGCCGCAGACGCCGTCAGCGTGCTAGGCCAGTCTGCGCGGAGCAAGCCGTACCCCAGGCCATGGGCGCGGAGAGCGGCACGCAGAGGGCAGCTTCTCCGAGGGGGAACGGAGGGGCTGGGCCTGGCAGGAGGCTGCCCACCACATGCCCGTCCGTGGGAGAGGCACACGCCAGCTCCGGGGCTGGAAGGGGTAAGCCCTGCTGCTCCTGGGCGCCGACTGTCCGCCCTGCCCCAGCGCAGCATGGGCCTGCTGGGGAGGGACCGCAGCATCAGAGCGCGGGGATCCTGGAAGAGCCGGCGGGGAGGCAGCTGCAATAACAAGCCGGCGGGCAGGGATCAGGCGGCGGCCGCACAAAGCGCTCCGCAAACAAGCAGAGCCCGGGGAGGTCTGGCAAGGGGGAGCGTGGCGCTGCTGCCACGTGGTCTGGGCTGGGGAGCGCGTCTCCCCCCGTCCACGCGCAGGCTGGACATCCACGCGGCGCTTCGGGAAGAGCTGGTTCCAGCTTCAGAGCGGAGACTGCTGCATCCCGGACGAGACAAGGGGACATCCTCGTTGCAACACGGCCTGGCCCCAACCTCACCCCCACAGCCGAGATCCTCCCCGCAGTTTCCCAGTGCCCTCGGCCCAGGCTACCAGGCTTCAAAGCACTTCCCCTCCACGGGCAGCACCCCCGGGTTAAATCCCTCCGGTGCTGAGGGTCCTCCAGCACCTTCCCGCAATCCCCCCACCCCTGCCCTGTGCCAAAAGGGACAGGTAAGTTCTCCCACAATGCACTGGGAGCATCCTGGAGATGCTCGTCTTTGCAGCTCAGAGAGCCCGGGGACGTGCGCAGCAGCACGATGGGGGGGTGCAGCGCTCCTGAGGACACAGGCACGCCGGCCAGGCTCGGGCAGCTGAGCTGCTAAGCTAACCCTGGTGCTGGTTTCCCGGGTCTCTTTGCAGTGAGGCCACAGCTTGCGCTGGCAGTCCCAAGGCTGCTGGGCAATGGGACCCAAATGCTGGAGACTTCTGCACCGCGTGTGTCCAGGGAGGAGGCAGCCTGAGCATGAAATGGCTCCCCGAGGATGCCCCTTCCAGCAGGTGAGACCCCGTCCCAGCTGGGCTCAAGCCCCCGGCAGCGCCCGGACGTCTGGGCACCGCATGACGCCGGGCAGAGCTCCTGGGGGCAGCCCTGCAGCGCTGACCGGGGCAGAGGACATCAGGGCGTGCGGTTCTCCATCCCCCCACCCCGCTCCTGCCTGTCGCTCCCCTCCTCCGCCTCGCTGGGCTCCAGCAGCTGTGCAGACGGCTGGATGCAGCTTTTCTGTCTGGCCTTTCCCAGCACAGAGGCCCATTCAGAGGCTGGGTGGCCTGGGGTCTCTCCGGGGTCGCTGCTCCTGTGCCCGGAGCCGGATTTCTGCAGAAGCATCGTCCCCGCGGCTCTGTGTCGTTATTGTCTCCCACGAGGCCCCCAGACGCGGTGTCACGGAGAGGGGAGCGCGTCTTTCCGGGGGTGATGTCACCGCCTCGGAGCCTTGCTGGGTGTCACAGCGATGCCGCTAAGGGCTGGGGCCAAGGGGCATGAACCCCGACCCCTCTGCAGCCAGCAGCTGGGTCTGCAACTACCCACGGCCTCGTGCCACTTGCCAGGGGACCTGGGGGCACCCCAGCTCTGCACCCCGTGGCCTGGGGCTGCATGCACAGCACAGGACCCCTGTGGGCTCCTGCAAGGGTCCCCCTGAGCTCCGGCACGGCTGCCCCCACGCCGGGACCTGTCACCAGGCATCAACTTGGAGGTGCTGGGGTGGGGGGCAAAGAGATCTGGCCTCCAAATTGCCCATTCTGTAGCTCTGGGTGGGGTGAAGGGATCTAGTGTGCTGGAAAGCCTGGTGCTAAGCGGTCCCCTCTGGGTCCAGGAACGGCAGAGGATGAGGATGCACGGCGTGTCTAGGAGCACGGGCAAGGCATGCAGAGGTCAGTGCACCGGAGCCTGCGCAGGTGGCACGTTTGCACTGAGATCCAAGTGAACAGATGCCAGCCCCCGGGGCTTGCCCTGGCAGGGGGAGCAGGCGAGAGCCTGCGGCCAGCGAGCCCATGGCCACGGGGGAGGGCAGCAGGCAGAAGACAACGCTTGGCTCCAGCTGCCGCCCAAGTTACCGATAAAGTTACTTCCTGGCGCGTTTCCCAAGCGTCCGGGGCGGGTCCTAGATTATAGATGTTCGGGGCGGAAGGGACAGGAAAGAGTTCTGACCCTCTGCCCCGGGCAGGAAAGAGCACTGGGGTCAGATAACCCCAGCCAGGTGCTTGACCCCAGCTAGGTGCTCGGGTCAGCGGAGCAGCTCCCGGTGCCAGATCAGCAGCTGGCGGCGCTGCTGCCTGGAGAGCTCTCCTTGCGCTAGCGCTGGCTGCAGCGGGGAAGCGATTGGCACGGCTGCCCCCTGCGCCTGGCTCTGACCTGCAGTGCCGCAGCCTGGGCCGACCGCACGGGACCCCCCGAGCGGTACCGCACGCTGCTGCAGACAAGGCATGATCACCTGCTACGAATCCATGCCGGCTTCCCTGCCGCATTATTTCTCCCACTGTACTCCCGCAAATATGATCCTTCATAATCTTTTCAAAGACCTTTGCAAGGATGGAGGTGAGACAGACTGGTCTATAATGACTCGGATCCTCCTTCCTCCCCTTCTTGAAAATAGGGACCGCATGGCCCTTTTCCAGTCCTCCGGGACCTGCCCCGAGCGCCACGAGTGCTCGAACAGCCGTGCCCGCAGCTCTGCTACGACCCCGGCCAATTCCTTCAGTGCCCTTGGATGCAGCTCGCCCGGGCCTGCCGACGCGAACACGTCCTGTCCGTCCACGTGACTCTGCACCAGGTCAGCGTCGACAGCGGGCGGGCTGGTGTCCCTCTGATGCCCACCTAAGAGCCCATTAGGAGACTTATCTTGCCCCTGTTCAGGAACACCGAGGCAAAAAACTCATTGACTAGCTCAGCCTTGTCCCCCCGTCTGTCACTAATTGCTCCCCCTTGTTCAGTAGGGTCCTATGCTGCCCTGCGCCTTCCTCTTCCTCCCTACATACCTAAAAAAAGACTTTTTGTTGTCTTTAATTTTTAATTGGTGTTGCCAGCCTCAGCTCTGCAGTTGCTGTGGCCCATCCAACCTCCTCTTGAAGACCCCCAGGGTAGGGGAGAGCACCACCTCCCTTGGGAGCCCCTTCCAGACCCTGGCCACTCGAACTGTGAAGAAGTTCTTCCTAATGTCCAGTCTAAATCTGCTCTCTGCTAGCTTGTGGCCATTTTTCTTGTAACCCCCGGGGGCACCTTGGCGAATAAATACTCACCAATTCCCTTCTGTGCCCCCTGTGATGAACTTATAGACTGATCCGAAAGAAAATGCTAGCAGCTCTCTCTGATTCATTGCCCCAGACAGAAGAGAATGGAGTTATCACTTTCCATTATCAGGGACTTGAATTGATACAGAGCATCTATGCAGGGTTAAATTCCCAGACAAAAATGACCATAGGGGTTGTGGATTTAGCACACATGAGCTGGAATGAGCTAGTGGCAAAAATCAAACAGGCAAGAGATTTGCTGCGAGAGACTGGTGTTTTAAAGAGACAAGCAGGCAAAAAGATTACATCAGAGCCTGTGCAGGCTATCACCTTTGCAAATAATGGTCCTCACTCTGCCAGTCGCCCTCCCAATTCTAATCCCCCTTTGCCTCAACCCTGGGCAACGACAGCCCAAAGAGACCCTTAGGAGAATGATTTGGAAAGAGCTAGTGAATTTAGGGGAAGATATGGGAAAATATGATCACCAGCCCATTAGTGTCCTGATTAATGCTTTGTCTCAAGCCATGCGGAGAGCAGAGTTAATGCAG